AACTCCAAAATCCTAAGCCCTGTTTAGGGAAACTACCACCTAAGCCCGGCACTCAGATCAGTTCTGCGAGGCGTTGTGAGGAAGCCATCCTCGGATGCTGCTCAATTCTGGGTTTAGGGTTTAAGGTTTAGAGTTGAAAAGGTTTAGGGTTTAGGGGATAGGGGTTTAGGGGTTCAGGGTTGAGTTTAGGGTTGAAGGTTTAGGGTTTAGGGGTTTAGGAGTTTAAGGTTTAGGGATTAAGGTTTAAGTTTGAGGGGCTTCGCGTTTAAGGTTTAGGGGTTTAGGGGTTTCGGGTTTAGGGACTAAGGTTCAGGGTTCAGGGGTTTAGGGTTGAAGGTTCAGAGGTTTAGGGTTTTAGGATTTTAGGGTTTAGGGTTTAAGGGTTTTAGGGCGCAAGCCCTAACCCTGAACCCTAGCAATACAGATTCATGTCCCAAGGTCCCGGTAACATTGTGATGACGTGACGGCACAAGCAAGCGGCGGCGTGGGTTTCGAGTTTAGGTTTGGAATCGACGTCAAAGTAAAAGGCTTTCCTAGGAGTTAGGGTAGTGGCCAAGTTAAGAGTAAGGGCCATCTGCGGGAGAGGAGTCTCCTTCCCGCATGGTTTACCAACAACCACCCTTCACCCTCCACCCTACACCCTAAGCCCGAACCAAAAAGGAAATTCAAGTACTAAGCCTCCATTTGGGGTTTCGAGATGCTACTCATGTCTAGTCTATACAGGCTGGCCAACCACATCAAACGAATTGCGGCCCCCAATGCCTTCCCAGCATCTACATCCAGGTCTTTGGCCATGATTGCTGCGGATGTGCCCAATCCACCATCATGAACGTCGTTCGACTTGACCGTGCCTGACACGCAACTGTACACTCCAGGATACTCCAGGCAACAGCATGGCCGGGGAGCTTCCCTGACTTGATAAGTACGTGTTAATAGAATTTCAACAACATGGCGGGGAATCCCTTTCTAAGACTCTCCGGTAGTGGACACGTTCTTCGGGGGACACTCACATGTCATGTCGGCGGGTCCTGCGAGGATTGTGTTGGGAAGCACCACGGCGCCGTCTTCCACGTTAGCTCCTCCCTGAAGTTTCGACATGATGCCAAGAGCCTCAGCAAGGCAAAGCTGGGTCGGCCGCTTTCAAGAATACACCTGCAAATGTCAATCCAGCTGACACCCTTTTACTTTGGTGCTTAGGCCCTTCAGGATGAACATTCTGGTGGATAAATCCCTAAGTGCGGCAAGTCCGACAACCACGAGACTACAACGACGACGACGACGCCGACGCCGACGACGACAACAGCGGCGCCGCCGCCTGTTGACGCCCCTTAGCCCTTACAGTCTTGTGGGTAAGTCCCTAACTGCAGCAAGCGACAACCTCGAGACTAAAAGTATGACACCGCCGCCGCGGCCGCCGCCGGTTGACCCCCTTTACTTCAATGCTTATGCCCTTGAGGATGCACATTCTTGCGGGTAAATCGCTATAACTGCAGCAAGTACGACAACCACTAGACTACAGCTATGACGACTACGCGGCGGCGAGGACGAGGCTGCAACCGTAGAGCATCGAAATCAGGCAGCAGCAGTGTGACAGCAACACACATCGCTGCAGGGGTTAGTGCTAATGCTGGATCCCGATTCGTGTGGGGGCCTTAATTGTGCAAAGCTTCGCCGAAATTATTCGGCAACCCCTGATTCGTTTGGGGGCCCTTTAATTGTGTGAAGTCGCGCGGCCAAAAAATCTGAGAATAATTCAATAGAAACCCTTTTAAAATGCTTTCTAATACCCTTCTGACCTATTACCGAGACGATCCTGATCCCTCCTATTGAATTGGATTAGGATCCAGATTCGCTTGGGAGCCCCTCCTCCCTACACTAATTAGGGATCCTTGTTTGTTTTTTGGGGGGCGCACAGTAATCAGCATCCCACATTACTCAGAACAAGAACGGCAGCAAAATTGACAGAAGGAGCGATGTACAGATGTCATCAAAACCTCGGTTACCTCTATAAGAAGGGAATAAGAATGACAACAGCGATTTCATTGCTGCAAGCCATCGCAAACAGTGATGATAAAGTTTATCTGATCAAGGCTTCGTTGCCCCCAATAAAACCCAACACCTGGAAATTGAACTCAGGCGAGAGACGCTCCCACGCCCGATAGAGACGGGCCGATTTGCATGATAGACACGTCCAGCTTCCTAGTCGCCACATGAGCTGTAGTCTAAACTCCTAGTATCCCCCTTAATAACCCCTATAGTGGTCCCCTATATAATTCCCTATATAACCCCCTTTAAGGAGTTTAGACTATAACTCACATACTTAACCCCCTTTGTCAGCTTTATTTGCTTTGTGCGTAAGTGAAGTAAACCGCAAAGCAAATCCCAGACAAACTCAGCTGCAACAATCATGACATCGTCCAGGATTGCCCCTTCGCCCACGCTCAGGAGATCCCAAGAGCATGCGAGAGAAGACTTGATGATATAGGCACCATGACCTATTCGCGCCCCAAGTATGCGCCGGCATAGATTTGGGATTTCAGTCCTCCAGGAATCATTCAAATTCCTAATTTGAGGCCATTTTGGCACTACTCCCCGTATAAGCCACCATTTAGGATTTGGGATCTCAGTCCTGAACCCTAAACCCTAAACCCTCAAAATTTCAGTCCTCTGAAAAGATTGCAAGAAAGGGGCCGCCCGGAGACCGTCTTCACACTCAACCAGCACACGGAAGCACGCCATTCTCCAGCCCCATACCTGGGGTTTAGGGTTTAGGGGCTTAGAGTTTAGGGGTTTGGGGGTTCAGGGTTAGGTACTGAGTTCAGATTTTGGGGCCCTGTAAACACTCAATTCTTCTGGCTTCAGAGGCGGATTGCACAGGGAATATGCTGAGAATTAAAAAAAAAACGTGTCCAGGAACATCCCAGATACGGGATGTATGCCCTCAAGGAATCTACCCAGGAGTGTCGTCTTGACCAGCCACAATGTGAAGGTCATGCAATAGAATTGCGTGAGCGGTGACAAGAGAAGCGACATGAAGAAGAGCAGGTGCAACTCAAACCGGTTGCTGATGGCAAAGAACTGCTCACCTGGGGGTTCCCACAATTAGGGGTACCCTTTGCGGGGGGTTCCTATAATAAGGACTATAGTATATTGGGATCTATGTTGGGGTCCCCCTATCTTGGGAAACTGCCACCTCTTGCCGGGAAGACCAGGAGAAACGGGAGCAAGGAACACGAGGAGCTAGTGGCCATCAATGCAAAGTATGCAGCCCCTTGCAGAAGGCCGACGATCTGTCGATGAAGTGGCGAGACGTCACCCATGGAATGAATATCCTAGGCTGTTCAGTAGCCCCTGGGAGACAAGTATATACTCTTTGGGGTTAATGGTAACGTACTAGGAAGCCAGTAATTCAAAAAGTGAAAAAAGTATGCCTCTGAACAACCTAGTTTCAACCACCGAATTGCAAAGCGGCAAGCTTTGTGTTGGCATGGCTTTGGTGGCGGCATGCTTTGAAGCTTCAGCTGCAGTGGCACCAGGATCCAGGATCTTGGGCAGCTCTTTGATCCTGAGGCAAAACAACATGAGCTATAGTCCAAACTCCCTAAAGAGGATTATATGGGGGATTATATAGGAAACTACTATAGGGGCTATTAAGTTTAGACTATAACTCACATGAATCTTGTATTAACAAGAGCAGACAACTACGAAATAATCGATGAAAAAAAAATCATCATAGTGATGTTAATAATCATAGTACAATGATTACAAGAATGCAGCAAATGTCTTTAGAACAAACTTTAACAATACAAAAATAATCATCAATAATCATCATGAAATAACAACAAAAACCACAACAACAACAACAACAACAACAACAACAGCAACAATGATACAAGTCAGAATAACAACAACTTAATGATAATGATAGTAACAATACTGATAATAAGAGTAATGACAACAATGAAAACAGAATACTTGACCTTGACGCTTTTAGTTGCAGCCAGAGACTCTTCGACAAGACGACACGTAGCGAGCTTGCTTCGAAAAGGAAGGTGGGCTTGATGCCTTCAATGCCCAATGGAGCCTGTGCTGAACTTGGACCCCCTTTAAAAATATTAAAGTCGATGTTTCTCAGGGATAGAATAAGCAAAAATTAAAAAACATTTCCAAGCACCCTCAGGAACAAGTGCCGCTGCTAAAGCTCGTGAGGCTTCAACGCCGGACAGCGAGTCCAAACCTAGCTCGTCGANNTTTGGGAGGAACTTGCTCAACGTGTTGACAACTGTTTGCTTCACGTCTGCAGTGGATGCACTTGAGATCGGCCGAACTGCGTGAGAGGCCGACGGTCCCACTTGACCCATGACACGCTTTGGCGCTGGCAGCTTGCTCATGACACTTTGCAGGCAGTTTGCTTCGAAAAGGAAGGTGGGTTTGATGCCTTCGATGCCCAAGGGGGCAAGTGCCGCCGCCAAAGCCCGTGAGGCTTCAACGCCCGATAGCGAGTCCAAACCTAGCTCGTCAAACTCTGCATCTTCTGTCACTCCATCCTTGCCGTTGGGGAGGAAACGGCTCAGTGTATCAAGCACCACACTCCTGAGCTTTGGTTAGTGAGGAGCGAAGGAAAACAGAAACAGAACTACATGATTACTGTATTATTAGGGATCAGAAAGGGACTACTGTAAGGATCCATCCCCTCATTCCCTGCCTAAACCCTAAAATCCTCAACTGGAATTAAGCCCTAACAGTCCAACCCTACAACCTAATTACATCGCTAAGATTCTGCACATCCAAGCTGGAGACTGGAGTAGCCTCAGCCTGTGGTTCACTTTGTTGGCTGAGGAAATCTTGCAGGAAGCCCTGGTAGTACGAGCTCCTCACCGGCTCCATGGCAAAGGAATTGGAAGCTACTACCTAAACCCCAAAAGCATGTAAAATAATGGCCTTAGGACTATTATTATGGGTTTAGGGCCATTATCTTACATATTTGAGGGGGGGGTTAGGTAGTTTGGGTTTGGGTTTAGGGCTCAGGGCTTGGGGGGCATGGAATGGCAGAGTCGATCCCCATGGTAACCCCTACATGAACTCCAATCATGTACTAATTTCGGTTTTCTTTTCCATGTAGCCATGTCCTACAAGCACCTAAGCCCTGAAACCTACACCTGAAACCGTGGGCAAGTCTCTGTCCCAGGTCATGAGACACCTGTCTCCAGTCAAATCGTGTAAGGCACCTTAGCTGACTCAATGGGTTTTGGGTCCGAGATTTTGGGTTCAGGATTTTAGAACCCCTCCGTAAAGCTACACGTTTAGCCTCCTTAGTACAATACGTAGAAAACAACCCAAAAAAAACTAAAAGCCAGCTTTCAGGTTCTTTCCATTCCTAATCTCCGCCCTACAAACTCCCTATAGACTCCCTATTTACCCCATAAACCCTAAAGCCAGTCAAGGCGCACAACTGCCGAACCCAGCGGGCTGCGGGGCGAAGTGGGCATCAGCACGGCTTCCAAGGCCAGCATTGCTTGGGCTTGCTGCCAAGGCTTGAAGATGGAAGTGCTTCCTGTTGACAGTAAAAACCCTAAACCCTAATCCATGAGACTTATATACTATACTACCATATTTCGCAAAATTGTAAGCCCAAACCCGAAGCCCTTGACTGCGTAAACCCAGGGCTGTCGAGCAGGGCAGCTCCGGAGCCAAAAGCCCTCCGGCCGGCCACGGAGCTCCCAGTTCCGCAGGCGTCTGGTCTAGACAGGTCCAAAAAACACGCAAGAAGACAACAGCGAAATCAAAGATCAAGGAAACCCTAAATCCGCAGCAGTCGAGGCGAGGGTGGAGCGCCAGCGGGGGTGGGATCATACGGTTCAGGGTACGCGCCTGGGTGCTTTCAGCATCAGCGCAACTCGCCATGAGACAGCCTAAACTACTGAGTTCTAAGTCCAAAACCCCTAAGCCCCTAAACCCTGAATTCATAAACCCGAAACCCCTAAACCCTAAACCACTAAAATCAGGATTGTTGGTAGCCACCGCTCCCTCCGGTAGATCTGCCGCCATGCCGAAGTCGGCCCAAGGCCCCCACCTGGAAAGCAGTGAGTCAGGGTTCAGAGGTTAAGGGTTCAGGTTTATAGTCCCCCTTAAGTACATAAAACATGGCTTTGGGGATCTTATTATAAAATACCCAAAACCATATTCTATCTACTTAAGGGGGACTTTAGGGTTTAGAATTTGGGGTTTAGCGTTCAGCGAAGGAATGTAGACAAAAACGTTCGTGATTATGGCAACTTCCCGGGCCCCTAGCACGTAGAACCTCCTTGGGGGGCTCCAAGAAATATCCCAATAGTAGTACGGAATACCATATACGAGATTCTACTTTTTAAGCCTAAACCCTAAGCCCTAAATCCTCAACCCTCAACCCTAAACCCTAAGCCCTCAACCCTAAATCTAAGTTCCGCAACAGCAACCCAGCCACTGCAAAGCGAGAGATACACCCGCGGTAGGCCCTGCTGCATGGCCAAGGCTCCAACATTTACCTTGGAGTCATAGGGTTTAGGGTTTAGGGGTTTAGGGTTTAAGGCTTAGGGTTCAGGCTTTAGGATTCAGGGTTTAGGGGGGAGGGTTTAGGGTTTGGATTTGTAACATTGTAGACGGTTGTATCTTAGGAATCATAAAGGGCTATAGGGAATATACTGGCTTACAAGGGCGTGTGTGTATATATAAGTATACGTGAGTTTTAGGGCTTAGGGCTTGCAAAAAATTACTCGCCTTTCTTGGGAGTCCCTTTAATACTGATTCTGATGCGAAAAGGGAAATTTGTTGGGGCCTGCCTCCACCCATTAACGGTCTATAATGAGGTCATATGAAGGGCTCAATATTCGATATAATCCCTAAACCCTAAACCCTAAACCTAACCTATTATGAATATTCTCCAACTGCTAATGGGTGGGAGCAGTACCCCAGGAGTCTGTGTTGTTTGGCCCCCTGCTTTGGGTGGCTTCCAAAACATCTTGGTGTCCAGTATCCAGAGTTTATCTTAGGTAAACCCAAACCACAAGCCCTGAACCCTTAAACCTGTGGGGTTTTCTCTGGTTTTGTGTTACCACAGCAAAAACCTGAAGATTTATCTCCTCGACAGGTATGAAACAAAACGGGTTATGATCTTAATCCGAAACCCTGAACCCAACCCCTTATTCCCTAAACCCTAACTCCTCTATATCCCTATATAACCCTATGCAGCCCCCGTAACGCTTTTATGTTGCATAAGATACAACCCTATATAACCCTCAACCCAAAACCCTTTATGACTCCTAAGGTAAATGTTCTAACCCTTACTCCGAACCATACAACTCCTGCATCCCTAAATCCAAAATATCTCTATATAACCCTACATATACTTCCTCCAACCACCTGTATGCAGTCCCTTATGCCCCCTAAATAACCCTATATCCCTCCTAGAACCCAAGGACAGGTGGGTTACTCATGGCATCCAATGCCGAATTCGCAGCGCCATAGGCTGTCTGGCCAAGATTACCAAGGCAGCTGGTCACAGAGGAAAAGAGCCTGCGGTGTAGGGTTTACGGTGTAAAGGCCACCCTTGACTAGCATACCTCAATTTACTGGAGAACCTAGGAATCCCGAAAAAAGGAAATGGGCTTACTGTGGGAACCCGGAGGCCACAAGTTCTGCATGCGCGTGGCAGCACCCTGCGCGCGCAAACAGTCAACCAGCAGCGCTGCACCATCAACCTTTGGCTTCATCGTGAGATCCAGGCTGCTCTTGTCTTGGCGGAGGAACAAGCCATCTCGCAAGATGCCTGCCAAGTGCGCAACTCCAAATGCCTCCGAACCATCGCCTCCTGCTAGCTGGTCGGCGAAAGGGGATGGATTGGAGCCTACGTCGCACTGACAGAGCTCCACTTGGGCAGATGTCCGACAGAGGCTTGCCCATAGCTCTTTGTTCTCCTCAGGCACCTTGCCGCTTCTCGACGCGAGGATGAGCTTGCTCTTATCCACGGCGACCCATTCCTGGGCTACTAAGGATCTTACAACTAAGTTGCGCCAAAATGAATGCAAAGAAAATACAATGGGTCCTCCAATTTACATGGTAACTTAACAGCAAACCAGATTCGGCCAGAATGAGGCCCAGAGCCCCAGTGCCTCCTGTGATGCCGAAAATCTTGGGCAAGTCTTTAGTCCCCGGTGACTGCAGCAAGGGCAGGTGGAGACTCTGAAGGACGCGCACCTTTGCTCAATTCAACCACCTGCAACTCTTTTGCCAAGTATCTCTCTTCCCCAATACCCAGGGCTTAAAAATTTTCAACTTTATTATAGAGACCCAAAACAGAAGCCCAAAAAGGTTAAAGTTCTTCTATTGGCTAAGTAAGGTATACAAAACCAACTTGTCTCTTCGAGGTATTGGCACAGATCGCTGGCGCCCAAGGAGAACATCTCGCGGCTCCTGGTAATTTCCGAAAATTATGGGACCCTTAGATGCCCCCCAAGTAGTATCTGTAATCCTTTTTACAGGGACCCTCGCAGAGGGATGCCTAAAACCTAGACCTTTATACCCCCACATAACCATTATATAACCCCTACATACCCCTATATAAACCCTATATAAATCCTTTGTATCCCTATATACCCACTGTCAACCATATACATGGCTCATATATCCCCTATCACCCGTACATGAGCTGTAGTCTAAACTCCTAGTATCCCCCCTAAGAAGCCCCACAGCGGAAACCCTACATACTATCGCGTATAACCAACCTTTCAGGAATTTGGACTACAGCTCACGTATCTCCCAGAAAGGCCCTAGAACCCCTTCAAGGGGCCCCTCCTGGCGCAGAAGCTCCAAGGCGAGGTGCTGCGCAGGGCTTTCCTCCAGAAGCTCTGGGTCCAGGTCGATACCTGCAGTCCCCTTCTCTCTTCCCCAATAACCAGGGCTTAAAAAGTTTAAACTTTATTATAGAGACCCAAAACAGAAGCCCAAAAAGGTTTAAGTTCTTCTATTGGCTAAGTAAGCCTTAGAATTATCATATCCTTTCCCTGGGGTTAGAATTAGTAAGCTGGCTTGATCAAACTAGTTCCATGGGCTAGTTGACTACACTACAAAACCCTAAACCCTAAACCCCTAAACCCTAAACCCCTAAACCTTAAACCCCTAAACCCCCAAACCCCTTAAACCCTAAACCCTAAATCCCAAAACGTTTCTATGAAGATAGAAGTTGCATCGTAAGGAGCACGAGGTACCTAGCTCCAACCTTGCAGAGCGAGCAGCACCCCACATCCTGGGTTGCTGTTAAGGAACTTAAAATAATAGGGTTTAGGGTTAGAGTTTAGGTTTACATAGGGGTTATATAGGCATAATGGAAAAATGGAAACTACTGTTTAGGGTTCAAGGTTTCATGTAGACCCCTGATTAATAAACCCCCTCCTTTTAAATGGCCTTACTATTAGGATCCCTATTATAATCCCTATGAAGGGGAGGGGGTTTATTGATCAGGGGTCTGGGTTAGGTTACT